TTTTTTCACAGTGACTGTTTTACAGCTGTCAGAACTTCTGAGCCTACAAGTTCACCTTAGGTAAGAATCTGCTTGGTGAAGGGCACTTGCCCTGCACCTGTGAGGTCCTGAGTTCTACCCAAGCCCTGTGACAGGAGATGGGCGAGGAAGCCACAGCTGGGAAGTGAGCAGGACCAGCCAATGACAGTCCCCAGGATAGCTCCAAGTATTTCCCAGGATCCTGCATGCAAAACATCTTGATGGCTCCCACGCGGTGGGGACATATGCCAAGAGGCACCTGACCCTGACTCTCCACAGTAGCCCACTCTGTACCCCCTCCATACGGGATCTACTTTTATAGTTGCTTTTATCCCTTCCTTTCTTTTGGTCCAAGTTCTCTCTGTAGAGCCAGGTTTTCTCTAACTCCTTTACTCCTCACTTTTTTTTATTTTTTATTTTTTTAATATATTTGGTATAGCATCTCACTACGCAGCACGGACTCAGAGAGATCCTCGTGTCTCAGCCTCCCCAGTGCTGGCATTACAGGTATGCACCACCATGCCTGGTCTCATTGGCCAGCTCAGCATGCCTGGGAACAGGCCTTGGCATGTGGTGCTGGGGATCGAACCCCGGTCCCTGGGCTTATCTAAGCAGGTGCTTCGTCTTCTAAGCTACCTCATGGGCACTACCCCTCACTTTTCAAATAAATTTTTGACACCATTTTTTGGCTTGTCTCATTCCATTCTTCGTTCAAGGCAAGAAGGAGCTAGAACATGTGTAATTGGTGAGTCATTTAGGAAATACCCAGTAACACCTCTGAGGAAAACAAAATGGAATCTGGCAACTGGCTGTACGAGTTAAAAATACTTTTAATTGACCCATATTTCATTAATCACTCTATTAAGTCCTTATTCTTAGACTTAGCTCAGTCAACTAGGGGACAAGGACACCCAGGCTATACAAAGACTCACTCCAGAGATAAGTCACTAGAGAAGTCTCCCTGAGCCCCAGGAAGCCAACAGACTAAAAATAGCTACAAAGAGAAAAAAAGGAGGGAAAAGGAGATAAGAAGAGAAAAGGACGAAGACAACAGGTACAGACTGCTCTCCACGCACTGAGCACCCAGGACCCCAGGCCTGGGACACTAGAAGCCCCTCAGAGCTAGAAAGAAAGCCAGCTCCTCAGCCGACGCATGCGTGCCCGTCTCCGTGCGGGCATCACTCTTGCAAGAGTTTGGGCTGGAAGGCCCGCTTTCGCCGCCTCTGGAGTCCTGCTTCTTTTGGACACACGAGACCACTTCTCACACTGGGGAGCACAGACATCCTGACGTGCACGGCATCCAACGTGCTGGTTATGCTTGCAGAAAATCACAGCCAAGAGTACTGGGGCTGGCATGGCACTGTCTCCCTAGTGTGAGCCCTTCAGGAGGACATAAAATCTGAAAGGGACAATAGGTACTGTGAAAGAAAAAGAAACTGCTCAAAGGGAGGAAGAACTGGGATGAGGGAAAGGAGGACAGAAAGAAAGAAGGACAAAAGAAAGAGAAAGAAAGAAAGAGGGGGAGGGAGTGAAGGAGGGAGGGAGGGAAAAGAAAAGAAAAAAAAGAAAAGAGAGGAAGGTAGGTAGACAGATGTATATACACAGGATAGCTTGGATAACTGTACTGCTGATTTCTGCTGGTCTATTGAAAGGAACAGTTAATGCATAATTTTTTTTCTTTTTAAACCAATTTTGCATGCTTATATCTAGTAATCTGAACAACTAATTTGAAGACAACATTATGCAACATAACAAGCACTGTTGAATTCCTATCATTTTGTTTAGTGAAATTCTGTATCATTTCTAATGGTTTTTTTCAACCATTTTTTATTCTCTTTAAAAAAAAAAAAGGTACTAAAATTTGCAAATGTATGTTTATGTTCCATCCGTCAAAAGACACGACAGCAATTAAAAGATGGCCAGCTTTTGAGAACCTCAGACCACTTCCAGCGCCAGCACACTCCCTTGGCAAAGGGCACCACCCCCTCCAGCGTCCACAGATGCTGACAGCGCCCCGTCTGCTGAGAGGACACAGGTGCCAGGAGCAGTACCTCACCTCCTTAGAAATACCCAGCAACGCAGCCTTGATTAGGATCATGATCTTACAAAAGGGGGATGATTGGGGATTGTAAAGCTGAAAGAAAGAAAGAAAGAAAGAAAGAAAGAAAGAAAGAAAGAAAGAAAGAAAGAAAGAAAGAAAGAAAATAAATTTAATAAAAAATTAACTAAATCTCCCAAGAGAAACAAAAATACCAAAAAGAATAAAAGGAGACGCAGCTGGAGTGCTACAGTGCTTTTGCAAGTCTAACTCAAAACATGAATTTTAAAAAGAGAATAAAGAAAATGAGAAAGAAAGAAAAAAAAGGGACCAGGGAGATGGCTCAGTGGAATAAGTGCTTCCCTGGCAAGCGCAAGGGCTTGAGTTCAATCCCTGGCTCTGCAAAAAAGAAAAAGCAAATGAACAAATAGAAACCAAGGTCAATGCTAAAGAAAAATGTGAGAACAAAATCAAGCAAGCAAACAACAGGCCCTGAGGGTTTCACCAGAATATATATATTTTTTCAGAACCGAGGTTTGAACCTGGGCCCTTACACTTGCCAGGGAAGCACTTATTCTACTGAGCCATCTCCCTGGCCCCTCGCCAGAATATTTCCTAGAGCATCAAGGGGCAGCCCTCCCCTGGGGCCCTCAGGCACCAGGCTGACCTCCGCTGCTGCAGGGCCTCGTCCAGCACCTCCTGCTTGTCCTGCAGCCTGCGGTACAGGTGCCTCATCTCCTGCTGGTAGCGCGCGGTCCTGCCCTCGAAGTCCTCCTGCTGCTCCAGCAGATGGAAACCGATAGTGCCCAGCTTCAGCGCGGTCTGCTTCTTGTATCCCTGCGGGGTCAAAGGGTCCGTGAGCAGGGCGAATGCCTCCCGGTCACTCTACCCACCTCTTCTCCTGCTGTTGGGGGGCAAGGAAGTTCAGCAAGCCCTGTGAAAGGCTGACCAGAAGCAGCAAGCGCGGGGATCTTGAAGTTATCAAAAGAGCCAGGCATGGTAGTGTAATCCTATAAGCGCAGCACTCGGGAGCCTGAGGCAGGAGGATCACAAGTGCAAGCCCAGCCTGGGCAACTTAGCAGGATCCTGTCTCCTTAAAAAAAGGTGTCACATGCCTCTGATCCAGGCACTTAGGTGACTAAGGCAGGAGGGTTGCCACAGGTTCAAGGGCAGCCTGGGCTACATAGAGAGCTCAAGAACAACTTCAACTACATAGTGAGACCGCCTCAAACAAACAAAATAAGGGCCGGCCAAAAAGCTCAGCGGACTAAAGCACCTGCTTAGACAGACACAGGGGCCGGGAGTTTGATCCCAGGGCCTGCCATGCCGGCCCTGACCCTGCCCCCAGTACACACTGAGAGAGGGATTGAGACCAGGCGTGGTGGCGCATGCGCCTGTAATCCCAGCGCTT